TGAAGATTAAACACAGATTTAACTTTGGTTGCAGATGTATTCCAGGTATACAGATTGATGTACGCTACCGCATTAAATCAGTCGACCGTTAAAGTTTACTCTCTGTATGGTTGACTCAAATTTTTATTAGCCTCAGGTGTCATGATAAAACATTTCCTAATGTCTGACATCGTTTAAAGTACCTACTATACGTGCAAACAAGTGATTCGTACCGCCTATGATACGCATTTAGATGCTGACTTGTCAATTTAATGTGGGGGGGGGGGTTGATTTCAAAGCTCGGTGGTTTGTGTGTGTCTGTGCGTGCGTGGTGGTGGTGGTGGTGGTGGGGGGGTGCTCTACCGTCTTTAAGGTCTATTAATGGAAAATTAGAGTAGGAATTGGCAATTACGTTAACCGCCAGCGTCAAGTCCACATCAGATTTAGACAAAGTCCATTACCCAGATTCCTTTAAGTATGGATTTAACACTCATATTTTGATATTCTTTGATATACTTAAACCACACTTAGTTATACAGGTACCAATACCATAAGTACATTTGTTAATCCTCTGAAAATATAAATGACGCTTACCTATGTCTCCAGTAACTTGTTGCACTGGCACCATAAGCACTAGCATGGATATTACATACATGTGCGATGCCATTTTAAACAAGTTTAGAAATATCTTAATTACGCAAGCACATACAACAACCCAACGTTGCAGAAAACACTTTCCCAAGAGCTGGAGCAGCAGAGGCCACAAGTGTTTGTTACATTAAATCGTCCCCGAGATTTTCACACTAGCAGGTCTACAACATGTAACACAGGTTCTCCTTGTAAAAGACATGCTAATGTAACTTTGAGCTGTGACCTACACCCCATTCTCATAGATTAGATCGACCTACATTGGATCGACCTAACTCCCTGGGGGTTCACGCTAAATAGCTGTCAGCCGGGCGGACACGAAAGTTAATTACCCCTTAAAGCTTGTAGTAGGCGGGGACGGACACTTAAGGGGGATTATCTGACAGTAATCTAGTGAGACTCCCCGCGGTGATAGATCGATCTAAAAGTTGTGAGAACAGAGCCCTACATGTAAATAGAGAAGTCCTGCGACTAACTTACCTGAAGTGACGGAATTCAGTGACGCATATCAGGATCAGATTATAACAATTTACTGATACACGACGGAATTATGTCAGTAAATTGTGTTACTAATTAGTAGTGCATACATTTAAAGTGTATTATTACGTTACATGTCAGGTTTTTTGTTTCTATGGACTTGTAAATAAAAGACTGAATACATAAGTTTGCTTTGTTATTTCGCCACGTGACTCACAAAGTAAAGACTGCATGAATATTTTTAGGAAAAGTAGAACTGTCTAGTTATTCATAGGGAAGTTAGGATTATCTCAATGTTATTTTTAGAGTTAAGACTGTCTAGATATTCGTAGTAAAGTCAGGACTATATCAATATTATTTTAGGAGTTGGGACTTTCTTGATATTCATTAAAAAAAAGCTGGAGGTGAACGGGAGTGAAGACGTGGGCTCAGAGAAAAAACACTTTCAGCAACATGATAAGATAACAATTTTTCTTTTGGCATTTTTGGCAGAAAATACTTGTAAGAATAATAGGTACATGATATGGTACGTGTGTTCGAAATTTATAGGTGCAAAATGGTGCTTAATTTGCAGTCAATAGTTCTGAGTGCCAAGCGGGGAGACATCAGGTACCGCTTATGAAGGACTGGTATGTCCCCGGACTAAGTCGAACCCACGTGCGTCTTACCGCTCCGGAGGTGGACACTCTAACCACGAGGCGCTAATACGGCATTTTAAAATTACAGTATATATTAATTCAGATTAAATATTTAAATTTTAATTTTTTAGAATAAAAGTCACTAAAGTCTCGAAAAGTCGGGTTGTAAATTATAATGATCAACCAGAGACAGGTTTTGCAAAACTCTTTAACCAAATTTAAACCCATTAAATTCAGTTATAGTCCGACTAAATTTGATTTAGTAAGATGTTAATTAGCATTCAGTAAATTATGACAACTATAATTGTTCCCATTCCTTTTTAATGTTTTCACTTTTTTGTATATACCGATATTATATATTTTATATTATATTATATAAAGTAGGCCTAATATATATTTTTTCTCTTCTCTTAAGAAGAGCAATTAATGCCAGAAGCGATGTGCGTCCTTTTTGTTCTCTTTAATAAACCGCGTTAAAAGAAATGAAATATCGCGCCTGTTATAAACATCAAAACAAGAAATTCATATCTAACATTTATATATTGACATTATTTCAGTGGACTATTTGGGTATATACAGAATATTTATATGTGGGCACACCTTGAACAAGTGTAGGCCAATTTTTAGGTCAAAATTCTTTTCTGAATCCAGGTACCAAATAAACTTTTCTATTTATTCCGTATGAGATATGTAGAATAATGTTTAGTCAGGTTTGTCAGTACCAATAAAAGACTACCTTGTCTGTAGCATTCCTGCATTCCGTAATACACGGCAATTTCATCAGGTAGTATTCCATGGGCTTGTCCTAGTGTAATTATAACAGAGCAAAGTTCTGTTAAAGAGCTGTCCATACTTCGGCAACACCGTCACAGATAATGTTAAAACTTAACATTTAAGCGACCAGTTTAATGTTGCTTGAATTAAGCGATGCAGTTTGTCACTGCATTGAATATACATTGTATCTGTGTCAGAATGGTGGTCATTACTCGATCGCCACTTCAACGGCCCTTTGATCCTACAAAATTGAACCAAGTCGGACAGGCTCTGACCGATGCCTTGAATGTTATTCCAGATCAAACTTTAAGAAACCTGTCAGAACCAATGCTTATAGCCTGTTAGCAGCCAGATGAGACCAGACGCATCATTGGTCGTGAATAGACACTGATATGAATACCCTTTGTTAGGCGTACAACGCTTTCATATATGATAATTATTAATTATTGATATTATTGAATTTATTTAAAACACGATTTGAATTCTTGTTTTCGTTTATCAATTAGAGAAATGGGGGAAAATCGAAGAAAAATGATTTGAAAAAAATACATATTTACAAAGTCAAGTTTGTATATTTCATGTCAAAGAACATTTCATTTGATGGGTAAACTTTAAAACTATCAATTCCGGGACAACTACAAAAAATGATTTTTACTGACGCAGCCGGAGACAATCATTACAGTAAAAAGAAAATAAAAATCCCAGGAAATAAACGCCACGGGCCTGAAACCATTACTGCTAACGGGTTTTACACATTTACTGTGCCTATCATCGTCTACTTCTTTAATAGAACAGATATAAAGTCTCTGACAATTGGTGTCACAGGATGTAGGGACACTTTCGCCTTTAGCACTGACTATGTTATAACGGAAATACTTCATGAAGACATCGGTCTTCTTCTCCAAATCGGACACCAACTGCGCCAGTGACGTGGAGGTAATTTCTTGAACGCCATATGCCTCGCTGAATTTGTATTCTAGTTTCCACTGAGCCTTGGACTTGTCATTTGCATCAGGCAATTCCAGGTAATACTGCCAAATGTCTTTTAGTTGGTAAGTCAGTCTATCATATCGTAAGAGCCGGATGCCTGGGTTGTGGGCAGGTGTGCTTAAGTTGATGGCAGGAACAATGGCACGCCATGGTGTTACGGAAGGTGCTACCAGTCCAAACGCTACTGGTTCACCTAATGAAAAGATATTTTGATTAGTAAACAATGTTTTTGTCGGCACATTTGTCAAAAACAAACAGTTTTGATTAAGTTATTGATAATTCATATCCGAATATACTTATTTTGGTGGATCATTTATACTTCACTTTAGTTACTTGTAAGACCTCAGTTTTAGTCCATCGTAGCAAAGGCTTAAAGGGATAATAACTCTTCGTTTTGGCCAAAAAGTGAATTTTCCTGGAGTAAACAACAATTTTTCCATACTTACCAATGGTTAATGAATCCATTTTTACATTCAAAGTTAGTCCCTGGTTTTTTTTTCTAAAAAGTTTGTTTTTTTGTTAAAATCTCTTAAGAGTTTATAACAGAGTACAGCCATCAGTAGAAGTCATGTGATCTGAAGACAAGCTCAGATCTCAGAATAATAGCTATAACTGCTGTTTTTGTGGTAAAACAGAATATTTTATATTTCTATGAGTTGTTCACAATGTTTTTATTGTGAAACAAAGATATCATACAAAGAGTTATTATCCCTTCAAGGGAAAATTTCCGCTCCAGAAAGCTTTACGCTGACCTATAAGAACTATGGTGTGTTCCAGCATACGTACCCTGATCGTACCAAAGCTTAAACGTGTCGGTATGGTGATGACCGTAAAACATGGCTGCTATTGTATTCTTGTGTTTGATGATGAGGTCATTCAGTTTCTTATTGAATTGTGGTCTTATCATTGAATCGCCTTCCTCGTACATACCAGTTGGAATATGTGCAATCACGTAGGCCTAGTCAAATATTGTGAAATATCAAAAGTACAAAAAAGAAAAGTAAAAAAAAAAGTAAAAAAGAAAGATTAGAAACATGCATGCACGGTGTGCAAATAAGGAAGTGAGAACATGTTTAGTAGTATTAGGTTTAATTTGACACTTCTTTTCAAACAAAATTATTTTAAAAACGGGCCAGGTCACATCTCTACTGCAAAAGGGACTACCTTAAGTATACTAGTAATCAAGATTAAAATGCTACATTATGAATCCCGACTGGAAAATTCTTTTACCTTATTGCCATTTTGAGCTGCCTGATCTAAGACCTGATCAAACCACTGAAATTGTCCAGCGGGGTCACTGATGTCAGCAGTCACTTTGTTGCTGTTATAATACAAGTTTGTGTTCAACACAACAGCCACCAACCCTTGTTTGATACTGACCATGTAGTAGCCACCTATGACAATATTCAACATAGTTTAAATATATAGTTTGTTGATATTAATAGGTTTTTACAGATTTGTTTTGATGTTAATCTGATACCTTCTTTAGTCTTCATTGGTGTCACATAGATTCCCACCATCCTATTCAAGACAAACTAGGAGTCGGGACGCTTAGTGGCGGGGTCTACAATTGGTTGCGTGAAGGAGGAAGACAAAAAAAGGAGAATTAAAAACATCAGAAATGTCCTCAAGCAATATGGTTTCCCGAAATAAAAAATGGACTCAATTTAAAGACAGAAGGATAAAATCAACAACCCCTCACATCCCCTAAAAAACTTATCTAAAGATTTAGGGATATGGTTGTTTTGCCATATGTCAAAAGGGTGTCAGCAGAAAAGCTTTAAAAAAGAAACATAGATACTTCAAGGTAAATAAGCTTTGCTGCTGCCATTACGTCACATACCACCCTGAGAAACCCTTAGTACACCAGACGATAAACTGACACCCCATTTCCATAGATTTTTAGATCGATCTATCCCTGTGGGGAGTCTCACTAGATTACTGTCAGCTTGGCCGGCTTAAGAGTCTGTCCCGCCTACTAAAAGCTGTAAGGGGGTAATTAACTATGGTGCCCGCTCGGCTGACTGCAATTTAGCGTGAACCCCCAGGAAGTTAGGTCGATCTAAATCCTAATCTTTAGATCGATCTAAATCTCTGGGAAAGCACCCTGGGAGCATCAGAGGTTCCATCAAACGCCTCAGCTGTGAAGGCCAGTACACTGTAAGTTCCAGAATCCTACAGAAGGAGAAGGTAAAGCGAATATGGACTAGAAAGGCCTCCAAAAACATAAACAGAGACGAATGCAGATGCCTTCTCCCACACCTGTATAATGACCCCCTGTAGTGCCTCATGGTCAGGTACGGGTCAGCAACAACAGTTGTCGATCACTGGCGACACGGACGACATCTAGTGACGCCAGGTCAGACTAAAGAAGATGACAGATCGACATTAAACGAATCTGTGGGCATGATATTCATTTATGATAAAAGAACATATACTTATCTAAACATTCTGTTCTTTTGCTTTGGCAATTCATTTACATAACAAACACAGTATTAACATAGCAAATCCTGTATAACATTACAGCAACAGAACCTTGCATGTCCTTCATACCTTTTTTTTTACTTCAAAACTTTAATTTGAAAAGGAGACAGTTAGGAGTCGAGTGACTCTTTTACGTAAGTCAAAGTGGTTCCACGGCGTAAAACAACGGCATTATTCATATATGGTCTGGATCAGCTGAATGAAGGCCTTAAGCTGTGTTTACCTTTTCTTAATGTAGTGTTGGCCGTGGAATCGCGGTGCCACCGTTGCCACATGTTTGCTGCTGCGTGGTAAATTTCATTCTCATGCGGCGGAAGTTGGTTGTGAGGGAAGTAATCATGGTTACCGTGAGCTGCGTACACTTTCGTATTCGGAAAGACGTCCATTAATATACTAGTCAGATTAGAAATGATATTGATGATATTTTCAGAGCTGTCCTTGCTCTCGTCGATGTGGGGTGCGTTGTCCCTGGAATATCGAGTTGAAATATTTCTGTCATTTTGGGTATACTTATTCTTCAACCTTGCAACAATTTTAATATGATAAAAACATACTTTTTTAAATACACAAACACTGGACACATGTATGACTGTGTGCAAATAAACACTATATTTGTCTAACACATAATTTTACTATTTTTAAGGCTTAAACAGCTAGGGCAAATATCTTATTTTGACAAAGTGTAGGATTTTAAAGACACGTTTACTACATAATGCACTTCTTGTTGAACTTACCTGAGGATCAGTAATGCTTACAAACCCTTTTAACATTTACTAGAATTAATGTCGCCCAAATAAATCAGTTTCATCAATGTGAATTTCTGACTTAACTACTTATGACTTATCTTGGGTAAAAGTAAATTAAAATTGTTGGTCACAAAGTTAAAAAAAAATTTCAAGTCAAGACTACGTTTGTTTTATTTTAAAGATAATCACCATATTTTATTAATGTCTCTATTAACAAAGTACAGTAACTATGGAATGTTCTTTTACGAATGATTTAAATGAGAAGAAATACATAATTAGGTACATTTTTATTTCAGGCAGTCTTCAAACTCGGAAAATTTGCTCATGAAGGAGGAATTGTTTTTCTCCAATGTCTAAATGTATCCCCTTTTGACTTAAGACGGGGATAAGCAAACACTTTGGTAAAAAACACTCCTCACAAACTTTTCTAAGATGAATAAGTTAATTGTAAAATATTACCCTGTCCAGAGTATAAAGTCTGCGTTAGGTTCAATCTGCTTCATGGCGTGTACGGAGCTGTTGATGAGGGACCAAGGGGAGTCACAGAGATAGTCACCATACGGCTTCTGCTCAATGTCTGCTACAGGAGAGGTACACGAGTCCTGACTGGTGAATACAGTGGAGTCATAGTGGAAGTCTGTCACGTGCCAGAAGGAGCCTTGGAGGGCAGAAAAGGCGTCATGTTTTGATCGTCTCGTTATCGTAATATTTTGTAACGCATTCAGTGAACCCCTGNTAGCCTCAAAATCAGAAAACAACATAAAAAACGTGAATAAATAACCGAATAAGGAACCGGGAATAAGTAACCAACTTCACATTTGAATAAGTAACCGAATAAGGAATAAGGAACCAGGAATCAACTTCACCGGGGTATTCAGTGAAAAGAATATCTAATGAAGCTTATTATTATTTAATACGTTCTGGGTATTCAATTTATTAACCGTACTAAAAAATTAACGCTAACAATTATATGTTTTAATCCTTGGAATCTCTGTTGGCAACCGAACCATTTCCACAGAGAAAAATTGCAGGTCCTTATTCACTTCTCATACATGTTTGTGTTCATATTGAACCATTGTTCTGCATTTTTCAACCAACTGCACAAAAATTTCGTGTGCGTTAAAATCATCTACTGAGCTTACTTGATAAGTAAAACTACTTTTATATTATCTTTTTTCTACTTCTTCGATGGACTAGAGTAAGGCAACGCCTGCTTTCAAACACATAATTCGATTCCACTATGATGCTATTTTAAACTAAAAAAAGCATTTTTCTTTATTCCTAAGTCAGAGAACTACGAGACATTCTGAGATGACTTTAATTTAATATTCCATATTATCTAATTGAAGTTAAGTGAGGTGAGTACACTGTCCACTTTTGCCGGTCGTTCACTTTTTCATAGAAATTTCATATGATGAGGACAAGTATCTACATTTTCAAATATGCGCTGGCTAGTCGAATCTACTCAGTTCGTTTCAATGGACGTTTGTCGCGACAATGAATTGTTTCCAGGCCTGTAGCTAGCAATTTCGACAGAAGTTTTTTTAGTGGATATTTTTTATAGTGAAACCTATGTCTTTATTTTAAGTAGCTCAGAACTAGGATAAAATCTTATTTCAGAAAGGACCGAACCCCAGCCATAGTTAATTTAAAACCTAACCTCCCCCTGCCCACGAACATGACACCATGTCTTTTTACAGGAAACACGAAATCTGAATAAAATATGGATAATCAACAGAATTCTGAAGTTGGTGAGGAAAACTCGAATCCAGGGAGCACATTACGCCATGTTACATTAATTGTCGTCATTTTCATTTAGCTAGACCGCCTTCAATACCCCAAACACTGTATAAAGAGGTTTTCCATTCCGTCCCGACGCACGTTCGCTCTCGAATGTAAGCTAACGAAGCCTGTTCGTTTATTTACTGATATTAGTCATTTCACGTTCATGTATATCGAGAGCTAGGCAGTTTGTAAATTCAGCGACATTTTAATGAGAAACAGATAGAAAAGAGTGGCGCAATGGTGTCTGCAAATCCAGAACCCTGGGTAGACAGTTCCAGGGGCGGATCCACAATTATTTGAAGGGGTGGGGGTCCGGTTTTTAGGAATGACAGACCGCGGAAGCGAAACCGATCCTCGCCCTCGACCCTTGGCGTGGGGTTCGAGGCCCATTGAAAGGCCACCAAAAATTTGGTACTTTAGGGGGCGAGCGGTGCCATTTGGTACAGTTTAGAACTATGATTCAGCTAGTCAAAATTCTAATTTCAAGAGGGGACCATTGGTGTGATTTTTTTCAGAAATCAAAGGCGGTCAGGACCCCCCTGACACCCTCCCCCACCCCCCCACCCCCCGCCCAAAATCCGCCACTGCGTCCCTACCTGCGTGCCTGCAAATGTAGCCCGTGTTTGAGAAATAATATAAGGCTATTACATTTGAACACGGACTGCTGCGCTTTTCTTCAGCCGAAATAACATTTATCCTGTAGATAGATGTAGATTATCACATAACCGGATCGGCAAACTCAACTCTTTTCATACATGTACATGACTCACATTTCATATTGCCTTATTTTTTATGGATAAAGAATTTCATAATGTCCGATCTACTTTTAAAATATACAAGCAAGCAGGTTATTTGTACCGCCCGTGGAACTCATCTCGACATTGATATGCTTATAGGCTAGGAGAATTCTTTTTAAAAAATCTCGGGCGGGGAGGGGATGTAGAAATAGGATATAAAACGGACTGGTGGTGGCTAGACTAGGAACTTTAGGAGTGTGAATAAAGCCAATTTTGATATCCGCGACTCTTTTTGTTTGTTTGTACTTCATCGGCGATTTTATTATAGGCCCTTGCAATTTTATCTATTATCACCTCTTACAGAAAAAGTAACATCATTACAATGATTTAAAGAAACGCGGGATTGACAACCATGGCTTATGTTTACTTTAATCTTGGACCCACCATGCAGTTACTTGGTGGGTGTATAGCTAATTGTTAAATAAGAAAATAGTTTAATTGGATCTGTAGGCCTAATTATATTGAAGAACAGGTCTATTTATAGAAAATCAGAGTAGGAATTGGCAACCGAATTAACCAACACCTTCAATTATGATCAAGTCCACGTCATATTTAGACAAAAACTACTAACAAGATTCCCAAAGGTATGGATTTAATGTCTATTAATATTTTGCAATACAATTAAACTGTCACATAGTTGGACCAATTGTATCACAATACCATAAGTACATGAGCATGAATCTCTGAAGACATAAATGGCGCTTACCAATGTCTGCAATAACTTTTGGTACTGACAGCAGACCAACCAGCATGAATACTGTATACATACGTGATGCCATTTTAAACTGAAGCTTGACCCAGTTCTGCACCTGGAAATAACACACAAAATAGGCCTACAGGGTTTCTCAATATAGATGGAACCCTTAAATATGGTAATGGTTTATTACTGAGATAAGTGACTGAGACTTTTATTGCTTGTCCTGGGAGCTGATTTAATAACAAATATAAAACATTGGTTTGTTGTCTTAAGCTCAAAGGATGCATTTTACAGCACCTTGTAAATATGTCACTTGACAATGCACAATGTTACGCAAGATTACCAAGTCCGGCCACACGACGTTGAGTTTGAGCGGTCTTGTTCACTAACGCGACGATCACTTGAGTGAATAAAGTTTTATAAGATTTCGTTAGTATCATTCACTAAAACAATCTGTTTCACGCTATAATAATATGTATGAAAGCCATCCAGTCGCATTTCAAAGGGAGTTTTTCAAATCTAATACAGGACTGACGCCGGTCTTATGAGAATACAGGTGAACTATTTTAGTCTTGTTGCGTGATCTGCACTTAACAAGGTGGATTGATTTTACAACTGTCAAGGAGATGGGACAGAAACTAAGGATAGCTTACCTATATTCAGTTAACCAGTTGAAGTCTCCTAGAAGGAGACGCAACGTCGTCAACTAGTCAAAAATATAAGCTCAGTTTTACTTACATGAAAAACTTTCCTTCTTTATCGATCCGCCGGAGAGATGGAGAAAGAGAGAGACAGAAACATGCACTCATGGGCAGATTGAGGCCGTCTTCTGCGTCTTCCGGAAGACGGTCAGATTTTCAAGTTTACATTGACGGGTAGCTGATTTTTTCTGTCGGAAAACGGTCAAAATGGAAGATGGATCAACAAAGATAATTTGGAAGGCTGTCAGAAAATATCTCTGGATCCGCCCCTGTTGTACTGGATCGCTTTCGATGGCCTACAACAACACCCAGGCGGTTTATTTGCCCCCAATCCCTCTGTCCTTATGTAGTGGGTACAAACAGAAATCCCCTTGATTTAGCTAGACAAACAGATAAAAGCGACATACCTGAAGACCGAGTGTCAACATGCTGAAACACAGACGGATGTTCAGCATACCAATATGCTTGTGTTCATATATGTGCTTGGGCTCTAGTTTGTATTTCAAAGCCCCCAGTGGTCAGCTCCTTTAAATGCTACGTATTACATGCAATAACAGGCTGTTTAGTTAACACCAGTAAAAGTCATAACTTGGATGTTATTATGTCCAAGGTCATAAATATGGAACGTGCCAAAACTAGATACTAAAGACGTCAATTGTACAGACACAAAGCAGAAAACAATGATACTAGTGCACAAAATAAGCTTTCGTCAATTTTGATGCAATATTACTTAATGATATACAGCATTATCACCACGAATTTGCTGCACATTTGTGGCAAATTTGCAAAAACATTAATACTTTCACACATACTGCAACCCTAAGAAGTTCTAGCAAATTTGCTGCTTATTTGATGCAAATTTTTTTGCGCACAAAGACTTTCTTGCAAACCTAGGGCCCAAAATATATCTTCCATCCTATTGCAAACATGTTGCAAACTTATGATGCTATTCTTGCAAATTTGTTGCAAATAAGCAGTAATACAAATTTTCCTTGTAAACTGGTAGCTGAAAACTTTTCATTTTGATAAGGACTGCACAGGGCTTCAGACACATGGTTACTCAAAGTCACAGAAAAATAATAATTTCACACACACACCCACACACACACACACACACACGGGCACGGTGATGGCGTCGACGGCGACGACAGACACAGGTGATGGCTATACCGAGTATGTATGAACAGTCACGATGTGTCTTTATATAAAGAGGAGAATAGTAACGGAATTTAGAAAGGATAAACTTGATGCATTTGTTTTTTGTTTGCTGTAAAACAAATAATTTTAAATTGCTTTAATCCAGTCATAGGAATGTTAGTAAAAAATCATTCCGACTGGTTGGCTGTCACGGGCATACACAGAGATTGAATTAGTGTTTAATATCTTGCTCATAAACTTCATAACATATATACTTCAAAACATGTAATTGTTTTAGTGTGCCAAATAGTGAACGCTCAGGCTGTCTTACTCTATTTTTTAGATAATATCAACATAATATACAAGTATACAACTACTTTCAAAACTTTCTCCTTTTTGTTCAGATTAGATAAGGACTTACCTGTAAATTTCTGACTCGCTATTTCTAATTCCAACAAGTGTAGAACAGTTTCATTAGCTATGTTATTGTAATAGACTGGCTAGGTCTGACTGCAAGCAGACGAAATATTGGCTGGTAAGACCAGACAATATAGACAAAAGAATCTTCACAAGTCTACAACATAAAACACTACCGTGAAACTAGAGCAGCAGAGGCCACATGCGTCTGTTAAGCCTTATCGCCCTAGAAATGCCCTTAGATATCTTTACTCTAGCTGCTTTTACGTCTTCACTTGAAATGTGAGTGACAGGCCATACGTGACAATCTGAACTTAGCCTATGTAATTCATATGGATCAATCGACCAAGCAATCTGCAAACGACCTACGACATGTATTTCTGTAATGCTAGTAATGACAGCTACGAGTAAGTAAGGGGACAGCTTTGTAGACTAACTGAATTGATTGACATGTTCTCATAGTACTTTTAAAAGCAAAGGAATGTTATCTAATCGGAGAGAAAGCCGCTAGAGGTTGAAAGAGGTAGAAAGAGAAATTAAATAGAAGCGTCGAGGGAACCAACTTGTAATAGTTAATAAATAACGTAAAAGAATATGAAAGAGTTGTATTCACTAACTCGCGTCACAGCAAAAGATAAAGAGACCATTCCCACAGATATTTAAACCTCTCTCTCCCCCTGGGGAGTCTCAGTAGATTGCTGTCAGCTAAACCGGCTTAAATGTCTGTACCGCCTTCTCAAAGCTGTAAGGGGGTAATTAACTTTTGTGCGCGCTCGGCTCCCGGAAGCTGACAATCTGTGGGAACCTTGTCTTAGAGACCATTCCCAAAGACTATGTTACTAACTTTGGATCGATCTATCTTTAAGGGGGTCTCACTAAATTGCTATCAACTTCAACGGCTTAGATGTCTCGCACTCCAACTGAAGCTGTTAGATGGTAAATAACCATCGTTTAGCGGCTTCAGAAGGCGTGCCAGACATATGAGCTGTTTAAGCTAAAAGCGATTTAGCAAGAAACACCTTGGAGATGGGACGATCCAGGTACATCGATCTAGGCATGGGAACCCAGTCAAAGGCAACAACTTCGTCAAACTTCTTGTAGCCCGTTAAAACGTTTAAGCCGTCCCTCCAAGCTCTATAAAGTGTTAACATAAGCGGCACCAGGTTTTAACTTACCGAACACACACAAAAAATCACTGTTCGTTTTCCTTGATAAACGTTTTCCCACTGCAGTGTGTAAACTCTTGTAAACGTTTTCCTGTTAGATGTGACCTTGCAAACGCTACACTGATAACGTTACGTACAGCAGCTTGCCAACTACCGTTATCTTCAGGGGTATCTCTACACAGTTGTGGCTTGCATTAGAATATGAGGGAAACTTATAACTCAGGATTATCATTATTGACGGATCCAGGTTTTTTTTATGCTGAAGGAGAAAAAAAGGAGGGCAGAGAAACAAGACTGCCCCCTGTAGACCGGTAGCTATAAATTATATTAAAACCTCAACGAAAACGCATAATATTTAAAGCTTTTTTTTTCAGATTCGCCATCTGAATCTTTAATTTGAAATCACTCAGAGAAAGACCAAGACAGACAACAATAGTAGGCCTAAGTTTTGAATTTTAATGTTCTGTAGTAACTACCGAAATATATCCTCCTGGTTGTTACAGTATCAATAAACCTCTTAAAGTCTAAGGCAAATGAGAGTGATTTCAATCCTTAAACTGACAACTAAACAACTAAACTAAACATTATAATGTTAAACGAATTAAAATCTGCACATGGTAAAAGATGAAAAATTACTACTAAAGGAATAACCATTAAAGAGATTTAAAGTTATGTACAATTACGATGTTTCCGGAATCTCGCGAACCTTTTTTTTTTTTTTTTTTGGGGGGGGGGGGGGGGGGGGGCAGTATGGAGGAAACGGGGAGAAAAGGATACCTCAGAAGCTAAAGCAGGGGCGGATCCAGAATTATTTGAAGGGGGGGTCCGCGGATGCAAAGCCAACCCTTTCCCCCACCCTTGGCGTATGATTTCTTTCAGAAATCGAAGGGGGGGGCCGTGCACTTTCACCGATAACACGGTAAGTGGAAAACCATTTTACCTTTTGGCTTGAAACTTACAGAACTGATGAATATTCATAATATGCAGGTCAAGTTCGAAAATCAGCATTATTGGGTCAAGTTATGCTGTTTTTTCACTTTTTTCAGCATATTTGCAATACTGATTACACATTTCAGGGAAAACCAATAAGCCTTTTGTCTTAAAACCTACAGGATATGATCTAGTGATCAATCTTTCTAAATTACAGGTTGAATTAAAATGCAACACTGATAACACATTTCGAGGAAAACCGATCACCCTATTGTCTTGAAATTCACAGAAATGAACAATCTTACTAAAATACAGGTCGAGTTTGAATATCAGCTTGATTGGTTCAGTTTTGATGTTTTTGTATATGAGTGGCTTTTTCTCAGATTCAATTCGAAGGCATGTTAATTCGACCATTCACCATTGAGAATTTTACCACCATTTTGCAAAAGTTTGAAGAAATTTAAAAGAGAATTTAATTCATGGTTTTCAGCAGTTTTGTTTAATCTAAAAAAAGGAATTTAATAAACTTCTACACAAAGATGAGTAGTTTTATCATGTGAAGTGCTATTTTACTATGAATAAAATTATATTTATTTGATTTAGATTGTTGTTGTTCATAACTACTCTAATGTTATTTAAATGTGAACTTTAAAAACTATAAATCAAGTAAGAGCAGTGTAATTAGTAAATAAAGTTGCTGTACTTCATAAATGCTATTTTATTTTTATGTACGTCCGTTGCAGTCGTACAAGTATGTCTGATACAGCCAAACTGTACGTCTGCTACATCAAACAAAGTGTTCTAGCTCAGCCGTTTCAATCAATCTCTTAACTTAATCTGATATTTTATCAACCTTAACATCTTTTTTGCAATATATATTTTTTTTCAAAATTTGTGGACAGCAAACTTCACAGAGTTTTTGAGATGAATAAAGCAAGTTGAAAAATCTACGTCCGTTACAGGGGTGTTTTCAGTATACTACACAGCCATGCAAAGGAGTTGAATCATATTACTTTATATGGTTATATAACCACCTAAGACACACATATAGGCCACAAGAAATTGACTCCAAATGTACAGGATTTTGTGCAGTGCACTGCCAAAGTGTGCAAAATGTACGTCCGTATCGCCGGAATTGCCCCACTTTGAGAAAGAAATTTCAGAAATTGATCAATATTCAAACAGTCACAGTTCTGTTAAGCGCACAAGCAAGCTGTTTTTAAAAGATCTCACCAGTGATGAATTCTTCGGGTGTATTAGTTATTGGTGGTAGATTGAATACTTCACCTGTTTCAGAAAGGATAAAAAATCCAGTGATTTTACCACAGCATCATGTTGTAGATCTGGTAATTGAAGAGCAACACAAAGCCTTAGGGCATAGTGGCCGAGAATATGTGCTTGTTGAGTTGAGACAGAAGTATTGGATCATAGGAGAAAGAAAATCTATTCGCAGAGTGCTCAGCAAATGTTTCAAATGTAAGCGAAATGCGTTATCATGTCAACAAAGAATGGCTGATTTGCATACAGCTAGGGTTACACCCAATGAACCATGTTTTATTTATGTGGGTGTGGACTATTTTGGTCCATTTTTTTTCATTAAATGTGGAAGAGTGCCTCCCCTTGGACTTTGACTGCATTCCTTGGATTAACATTTTAAGGTAAGTAAATTTTCTTGTTGTGGGGGAGGGGAGGGGAGGGGAGGAAAAGTGAAAGAAACCTAATCCTGTTTTTATTTCTGTTTACAGGACACTGAAGATGATGAGTGCTTTGTATCGGACCAAATATCGAATAATGTACCCAGTTCATGTAGAGAATGAACTGAAACATTTTGGACCATGGCAAATGATTACGGAGAATCACAATGCATGTTGTAACAAACCCGATGCACCGAATAGGTCTAACTCTATTGGAAATACCTGTAAATCTATGGTGGAAAATATTGTCAATATGTATACGCGTACGCACAAGTATGTAAATAGTTTTCACAAATAATTGCAAATGCTTGATATTTTATTTTGTTTATGGTATACTTCAATAAAGTTTGGTAGATGTGATTTCTTTGAGATAAATTAGATATATAGTTTGATATCTTATTTAAAAGCTAACTTAAGTGGGGTAATCCTCATTTCATATGTATATATTTAGTTTATTATATATATTTAATTGCTTAAGGATATTGTCACCTTTCACCCAAAATTCCTTATTTACTGCATAACGTACATCCTTTTGGGTAACAGATAAATCTTCAGTGTTCAGTGACTAAATTGATTAACATTTACATGTGTGTCATCTTACGGGTGACGTCATAAGCTGCACTAGATATGAGTCTTGGGTCGACATGAGAAACCTGCAGGGTCAATTGCTCATAAGAAACATTGGTATTGCCTACAGTTATGATTGTCCACGGGTCTGTCAATTATTTGGAATTTTAATATATTAAAATATTTATAAAATTTTTGCCTCTGGTGGCAGGGGAATTCTTAGCATGGCATTTGAGAAAATCATTATCTTAGTCCTTCCGTAACCCTTACTAACTCTTATCTTTTTCCTCCTGAAAATTGCTGGGTGCACACAGTCATTCGTCGAGAGAGGGTTGCATGTCACTGTTTTTCCGATTTTCTCAAGTGTTGTTGATGAATGACCACTTCATGGCGCCTTTTTAAAATTCTTTAGACCAGAAATGAACTTCAAGTCGGATGTGGACAGTTACTTGAGATTATACCAATGATCTTAACGATTTCAAAGCAAGCTTGCTTTATAACTTACTTGTTTCTTCACATTTGATGTTAAGAGCAATGAAATGAAAGTATTGATGTTTAACTGTGTATTATTTGTTATAACATTTTTTACAGTGGTGGGCAGTTTTCCTGGAGAAATTTATGATAGAATTCGTTTTTCCCAGGATGCATTTTAAGTTGAAAGAAATTTCTGATATCATGTAAAATTAAATCATTAATGAACTTATTGAATGGTATTAATTACATATTAATTAGACGATCTGTATCAATCTCCAATTAAATTATTTAGGCATTTGAAAAACAATTAATAAGATGGGTTCACAGTTTTGGTTAAACTTGGCAAATTCAGTATTTAATTTTTATAATGTTTAAATAGAAATAAAGATTAAATCTTTCTAGTGTCATATTGTCAAGTTTGTATTCATTGTGAGTAATAGGCAAACTAGGTTTAACCCCCCCCCCCCAATACACACACAAAAAAGTAAATCTTTGATTGAAGCAAGACCGAAGGATGCTGTTTTTATCCCTGTGCCTTACAGGT